AAAAAAAAAAAAATTCCCCCAAATGTTGTGTGTAGTCTGTAGGTACAGGAATCTGAATTCCTATACCTATAGCAAAGTTCAATAAGTGACATCCAAAAACTTTACATCTTCTAAAAAGCTCAAGAACGAAAATGTGCGGAATAAAAAGATTCCAACCCCTTACAACTCGATTCATTAGATCTCGAATGCTCTCTGACTCTTGGATGAAGATTTGTTTGACACTGGTTAGGAGCTTGGTATACTCGAGGAGTTGTACATGACTATGAACGTTGCTTGATTTACCGATGTAGAGTGGTGACATCTATTCGCTTAAAGCATTCAACTAATACTATACTTGATGGTGGTATATATCCTAATTCTACGAAAGAGTCACTATTTAGTGTAATATTGAGCATTTAACCAAGAAATTCACAAATTCAAGCATTTTTTAGGCATAAAGGATTTATTTAATTTTTTCATTGAAACAAAGTTACGAATTATTGTGACCAATTTTAATATTGCCCGATCATTTTTTTTGTCGTACAATGTAATTTGACTCTCTATAACGTGTTTATAAAAGACAATGTCATGAAAAGCTCAACTGGTTGAACTATAAGTTATTTGGTAATTAACCTCTTTTGACCATCTTAGTCGTTATTTTATGAGAAAAATTCTAATCATGTATTAATCGTATGCTACAATGGTAAAATTGTTATAAACATTTCAAAAAATCACAATTGTTATGTTCATACTACATTTTTTTTATAAATAGAGCACATTTAAATTACATTAAATATCATTAATATTTATTCATTGTCACATTTATATCCTTAACTTTTTTCGTATCACATTCTTATTTTTAATATTTCATTCATCAGAAAATTTTGTCCTTAATCATAGTTTTTGTTCAAAAATATTGTTAATGTATTTTTAAATGAGAGTAAAATATTTAATCGCATTTTTATAGTATTATTTATTTTGCTTATTCAAAAATAAAATGGGTAAATGAGTCATTTTACTCTATTTCAAAGAAATTTTTGGAACATGAACCATAATCGGGAATGATTTATATTAGTTTGAGCATAAGAATGCGATGAAAAAACTTTGAGACATACGTGTAATAATAATATATAAAGGTTATGAACGTTTTATGCAATTAAAATTTTAGTCTAGTTATTAAAAACTATGATTTGAATATAGTTAACCTAAGCCCAACGAAATGTATGAAGTATTAATGGCTGTCAACAGGGGTAGAGCCAACATCCGACGAGTCCCTATTACCGCCCATGCTAGCTCTATAAAAAAATTTATATCGGACGGCCATTCATGTTCACAGTGGCGGACCCAAGAATTTTTTCCAGTACGGGCGATATTAGTAAATGTAAGTCTTTTTTTCATTTTTACTCCCGACTACCTGAGGAAATCTCCTTTAATTTTTGGATTCCTAAGGAAATTTTAACCAAAAAAATTCCAAACAAAATCGGGAAAAAAGTGAAAACCCTAAACCACCAAAAGTCTTGCAGAAAATGCATCAAAAGTAATGCATTCTCTAATTCATCATGATAAAAACCTAAAAATACTAAATTCAAAAATCAGCAATTTTCACGAAAAGATCACAAGTAAAAGAAATAAAAAATAAAATCGCATACTTTACGGGCAAAACTTCATCTAAAGCATCCAAACTGTCCAAGCCCCCTTTTTTTGGTATTCACTCTACACCTCTTTACCTTCGCCTTTGCCGTCGTCGTTACTGCCGCTTGACACCTCCTCATCACCGTTCTTCCCAATCGAAGACGCCAAGGACGACGACACGGAGTCAGTCCGGTCCTCATCCACAGGCTCTACTTCTTCAATTTCATCGATTTCATGAAGTTGGGACCTTATTGTTTTGGGGAAATTGGGGATTTCAATTCAAATGTTTCAATTCTTTGTAGGGACGTGCGTGTTCCAGTCGGTACTCTTGGGAATTGAAATGGATTGGGTGTCTATTATGTAGATCAATGGCATCCACCTATCTTACAATTTGGGCCAATTATTTGGCCCATTTTTTTTTTAAAGCTAAAGTCAGTAACTGGGCTGCTGATAAATGGAGGCGGCCCAAAGTCCAGTGCAGACAAATGCCTGCATTGTACCTTCATTGAATCCGACCCTGCATGTTCACTTAGATTCGTTATTGAATGTCAAGGTGGTATCTTTTAAGTACTGGGACTCACAAAAATGTGTGGACAAATAGAAGGGAATTTGTGGGCCCTACACCTAATAAGCCAAGTAAGTAATGGAGGAAATTACACAAAACATCGCTTTTCAAAATCCATATTCAAAAATCAGATCACAAGTTTAACTTTTCAAAAATCAGATATTTCATATTTAATTAAATATTAATTATAAAATTTTATATTTTAATAAATATAATAAAATTAAAACCTATTTCCCCTAATTCACTCTTCTTCCTCTC